TACACTATCCGATGAAATGGAAATGGGTGACACTGAGTAAGGATTTTCTCGTAAACACTCAGACAACAATGTGACCGAGGCATATCTAAGGTTCAAATCGTACTACGCCTACTTTGCGTCCACCGATTACTTACGATAGCCTAAATAATATTTAGTTGTTACTTGACCATTACTTGCGCACAGCACTAATTGTGTGTTACTTACCTCCTAACCTAATTCTGAAATGCAGAAATTTTACTTGTACAGTAGATCTTATTCCTTCTTTCTAAAGAATACACATCTTCGCAATGATTCAAATTACCATTATGTGTTATACCTTCGAAGTCATTTTCCGAATTCCTTTGTGAGAAGCACGTCTTTTGTAACTGAGTACTCTTACCGCGAAATATAGCCTAAATTCATGTGGGTCGGAAATCGGAGACATTTGGTCATACTTGGTACAAAAATTTATCTTTCATTGAGTTTATATACGTTCTGCCCCCGACAGCTAAATAACAATTCTAGTATAATGTTCATGAATTGTTGTATTATTTCTATAGAATATCTGCAAATTCCTAAACCTTCAATAAATTAAAAGCAGACTAAGAATTTTGGTACTTTCTAAATTTTTACTTGTATGTATGATGCGGCTCTCAGGTGCAAAAAGACTTGTCTTTCCTTCCAGTATTACAAAGGCTGATAAGGTGAGATAAATAGTGCAGAGTGTGTTTCGCTTTTGAAAAAAAGCATAGTGGAGAAAACGAGATGATTAAATTAAACTTGATTGCTCATGAAGTCACTTCAGTGTAAGATACTTTATCAGTCGGCGCACAGCACCATCTTTAAACAACAAATTACCTTAACTATCGCTGTTTCAGCGTTTTTGAAAGAGCATTCCTTTGCACGAATGAATCCTGACTCCTTGAAATGGAAGCTAATCCTGGCACTGGCTAGTAGTACCTTTGCACTTTTATTCACTGTAATTGCCATTCCACTGATTCAAGCCGATTTGGAGAATCTCAAAACAGAGGTATTCAGCGAAATGGACGAGTTTCGGGTAAGTCGCACTTGCTTTGCATACTTTGAATTGTTTTGTTTTGGCTGGGATTATAACTACTCTGGTCCTCAAAATGGTAATTGTCTTCACAGGCTTCTACCGATGCTCTTTGGGATGATCTAATCGAAATCGAGCGCAATCCTGTCGCCAAAAGGGACATCTCCGTTGTTTACAGTCGAAGGCCAGTGATTCACAGAAAAGCAAAACGTAAGTTCTACAAGAATGTTCATATTATTTTGGCTACTTTTGCTGCCAATAACAAAAGTTTTTACTCGGACAAGCGCGGATAATTTTAGCAATAAATTTCCAGATGAGTTTTACAAAAGAGTGTACAGCAAGAAACTTTCCATGCTTCTGTCTTCAGCTGAAAATATTTTTCACCATTTCAGTACGTCGATCACATCGCCTACGTCATCGATGGATAACTAAAGCACAAGAATACAATCATATTT